AAGCGTGGCGGATTTTTGTGCCCAAGGGTTACTTGCAGACATGAAGCACTCCTGTAGATGAGTTTTCCCTTGAAGGTTGCGATTTACTCTGGTGGAGCTGCGATGCTAGGTCTGCTAGAGCCAGGTAAGTCACGACAGCAGTTTTGGAGCTGCTGACGAGGTACAGATCTGTTTGGCGCTACGCTATCTGCACATCGACAAGCGGATCGCCCATCGCGACCTTTCTCCCAACAACGCCAGCCTTCCTTGTTTCATCTCGTTTTCGTCTTCGTAGCCCCGACCACGCGAGACTCGACAGTTCTCAAAGGCTATTTTGCATCTTCCAACTCTGCAGCTAGCAGCAGTCAGTCCAGCTAGAGAAGTTGTGGAACACTCGCTTCCCGTTTCCGTTGGGTCATCAGCAGCTAACTCAACCCATCGACAGGTCGTTTAAGTGCAGCTGACAAGACACATTGATGTCTCCGGCTGGGTGGAACAATGTTGGTGGCTGGTTTCAGGAACTGTTCGTTGCATCCATTCTTGACCACGGTGTCTAGCTGGAGAAGAAGAGTTGAAGGCCTAGATGCAAACGCCCAAGCTGTCGCATGCCTGTGGCAGGTCCTGGTGCAGTCGCACTCGCTGGCTGTGAAGGTTACTGACTTCGGACTCGCACGTCAGAAAGGCGGTGCCGCCTCCCTGATGAAGTCTATGGTGGGTACAATTCTGTACTGCAGCCCAGAGATTGTGCAGCACAGACCCTACACGAACAAAGTTGACGTGTGGGCTCTGGGTTGTCTTCTATACCGTATGGCAACTCTTCGAGATCCTTTTACAGGAGGCAATCCCATTAGTGTGGCGCGGAAGATCGTGGAATGCGACTACGAGCGTCTTGGATCTGAGCACTCGCAGCTCATGCAGGTTACTTGCGAGGAGTGCCTCGCAGTCGATCCTGAGAAGCGCCCCGGAATCGAGGAGGTGTGTCAGCTGATCACGCCCGCCTTTATGCAGCAGCTGGAGGCTGTGCAACGAAACATGACCTCGTACTGGGGCAGTGACATGCAAACTATGCAGGGCAGCCATTACACGGGTACTTCTGTGTGGGAAGATGACGGGAGCGTGCAGGGTCGCTGCACGCCGACAGAATCCCCATCACCTCGAACGCCCAGTGAGGAGTTGTCATGTCCGACGCCCGGGCCAGGTGGTAAAAATCTCGTGCGTGTGCCGAGACGTGCCTTGCGTACTGTAACGGATCCTGCCCAAAAGGCCATGGCGGTCGTGCACCGCTTGGCCTTCTTGGGCCACTTGCCGGGCTGCGATGATTCGCAAGACTCGCATCATTGGGCAGTTTGCCGGTACCAAGAGTGGCTCTTTTCCAGCCCAAGTCATGCAGCTATCCTGAAGCGCGAGGTTACAAGGCTGATGCAGAGATCTGCGGAGCCTGTGGAGTGTCGTGACACGTTCGGGCAGCCACCCCTGCGTGGAAGTGCGGGTGCAGACGTGGCCGCCCTGGCTCTGAGCTATGAGCAACTCTACCAGTACGTTATCCGAGTGTCTTCCTTCTATGGATACTCATGTGTTCCAGAAACAGGACCACCTTTGTCCTCAATGCCGAGCGTCGGGAGCCACAACAGCGCCAGTTGATGCTTCCGATCCGGAGACTTTCCATGAATTCATGTTTAAGGCTTAAGGCTTAAGGGAGGTGTCATCGCTTCTCGGCGGAGCCGGCCTCCCTCCAGACGTACAGTTTTCAGACCGTGTCGACCTGAAGCGGACTGCCCATGCAGTATTTCAAGCGCCAGGCCTTTGACGGTCCCTTTTCAGCCCGGGCATTGCAAACAATGTCGAAGATGGCGTTTGCAATTTGCCGGCAGCTCCAAGATGCTTGTTCCAGGAGCCATGTAATTAGCATGAACGTGAAGCCTGCCATAGTCTGCTTCGGGCGTGTAGCTTACGCCCGGGAGCACCATCTGTGCGAGCCGCGCTTGTGGCAGCATTGCCCTGTTCTGTAAAGTTATGTGGCAGAAGCTGAAGAGGCATGAGGAGGTGCTCAGATGGTCCAGGCTTTTCGGCGTTCTGCCGTTCCGCCACACTCGCCCGATCACTTACGCGGTTCCCGTTCAGGGAAAGGGTCAGGAGAGCAGTCTGCTTGCAGGAGCTTCACGGTTGTGTTGGCGAGGCATGTGCAATTCCTGGCTCTGTGTGGCTCCAGGTAGACGAGGCAAACCAAAGTGTGTTGCTGTCCACCAGGACCTGTGGATGTTGAAACGAAAGCTTTCGAAGCCCTTCCCACCCCAGAGCCAGGAATTCCACGTTATTCTTGATCCTACTCCATGGTTCTCAGTGCTGTTTCCCCTTCAGTCTTCTGCTGCCACCAGCAACTGGTCGACCTGGCTCGCACTGTGCAGGCGAAGGGCAGCTGAAAACTTCAGAGGGTTGCAGAGGGTTTCCTACGGGCTCGGATCTGGTTTCGGGGGCCCTGCAAGGAAGTGGCCCGTCTTGCAGGCCAGCAGGAGCAGGAGCGGCGGTTGGCGCTTATCGCCTCAGAGCTTCAGACCTTTGCACGCAGCGACGTCCAGCCGGACCAGAGTCGTGGCCTCATTGCTAGGGGGGAGGTGGCGGAGCCCGCAGCGCCGGCTGTCCACGTGTCTCTCCGGGACCTTCGCGCAAGTGACGAGGGTGCTTGGCGGGAACTGCAGAAGCTTCAGGGTCAGCTTGCTGAAACACAGCAGGACCTGAAGGACTTAAATTCCTGTTACCAGAAACGAATGGAGGAGCAGGAGGAGCAAGTAGAGACACTCTCGTCGAGGCTGCAAAATCTGGTGGAAGACCAAGAAGCTGCGAGGGCTTCGCTGCAGGACCACGAGACACGGCTCGGAGTGAATGAGGCTGATCAAGCACAAGTGCAAGAGGCGGCCAAAGCAAGCTGCCAGCGCAACAGCAGTAGCTTCGACGAAGTCCACAAGGTGCATGGCCGTCTGTCCTCCGAGGTGGCCGAGGTGCGGGCAGCCTTCGAAACGCTGGAGCAAGAGATCATGGAATCTTGCAGCAACCACAAGCAGTCGGTGCAAACTCGCCAGCAGCAGGTGCTGGAACAAGTGGAGGAGCTCCGGTTTCTGTCGCAGCAGCGTCATACCGAAGCGCAGGAGCAGTTCAAGAAACCTCCACTGCTAACACACCCAAAATCACCCTAAAACCCGCAAACCCTTTGCTCAAAATCGCGTGAACGCTCGAAAGTCCAGGAGCAATTCAAGACCTTTCAGCAGCTGGTGCTGTCCCAGCAGTGGGAGGCCAAGCAGATTGCAGACGGTGAGCTGCGAAGCTTCCAAATTCAGCTCGACAAGGCCACACGTGCCACACTCCGCAGGACCAGCATACTCCAGAGCACACTATTGTAAGGTGGATGCCACACATTTTGTATGCTGCAAGAGACTTCCATGTGCCTGCAAGGCTCTCTGGCAGAAGAATGGCGCAGACTGGGCGAAAGCTGCAGAAGATGGTGCAAGCCCGTCTGCCATCGGCGTCGCAGAGCCGAAGACTTCTCGGGTTCTGGAGCCATCGCCTCTGAGGGAGGACTTCCCTGCGCAGTGGCGCAGCATCCTGGAGGATGTCATCCGCAGGTCAAAATGCCTCTGTGAGCAGACGAAGGCGGAGACAGACACGAAACTCGGCGATCTCGAAGCCAAGCTCAGGAAATGCATGAAGGGCTTGCTGGATGAGCAGCTCAAGATCAATCAGCGCACTAGTCAGGACGCTTCTGAGGCCCAGGAGACGGGACAGCTGAGTGCAGAGCTTGTAAAAGCCGCCGAGGCAAAGTTCAAGAGGGGTTTGGAGTGGAGTCTCCTCTCTGTGCGAAGCGAATTCCAGCGAGACCTCGAGAATTTCAGGGAAACACAGCAGAAGGTCTTGGGTCAGGTGCAGCAGACTCTGGCGAGTGTGAGCAGCGACATGGAGATTGCAGCGACTAGCTCGGCGAGGTTGGGGAAGTCTGTGAAGAAAGTGGAGGACAAAGTCCAGGACATGTCTGTAAGCGTGGCTCAGCATCAGGCGGACATCGACGAACTCAGAGCAGAGACCGGTACGTTGGTGCGAACCAACAAGCGGGTCGATGACCTCTGGCGCCAAGTGGAGGGCGTGAGATTGGAACGAACCAAGGACAGCAGGGCAGAGGCTCTGGCTCAAAGTCATGGCAGGAGTTTCTATGGCCAGCCCGGCGTAGATTTGCCACCTTCGCCACCTACACAGCCGCCGTGCCGTGAAAGAAGAGTCTGCGACTGAGTCACGAAAGAAGATGTCTAGCACAGTTTAATGATAACTCGTCGACTCAACATCACAGATCCACACAAACTAGAACCTTGCTTCTGTGAGGGGTAGGAGAGAGAGAGGGGCTTGGCGCAGCTGAGTGGAGGCCCGCGACCGCGACTGCCTTCGAGCGGCGGAGGAGCCGCGGACAATGTAGACGGAAGAACGGGCGCCGAGCTGTTGCCGACCATCGTGTGTCTTTGCTCCTTTCCTTGTGCCGTCTTCCACCTGCACTGCAGAAAACCCTACGATTCCGTCGATTCGAGACAGAGCTTGCGAAGATTTGATGTCTCTTTCACTCGTGCACACTCGCCAAAGGCGAGCATCGAAAAGGGCCTTGAAAAGAGAGTCAGCTATGCTCATGACTTCGTAAGAGCAGGTGAGGAACAAGGCTGAAAGGCAGATCTGAGCTTCACTTTCCAGTGGAAAAAGTCTTGTTTCACTGGAAGATCTCTGGGCCCTAGGCATGTGCACATTCACAGTGGTGTGGACGCAGTTCCAGTCAAACGTGGGTCACTCTGCAGAAAGGTTAAGCAGTTCAAATGAGGTCGCATTGGTCTTTTGTAGTCGCAGACATTCTGGAGAACTCCGCGGTCAAAGGGCATCGCAGCATAGCGACTAAGCTGTAGTCGGAGCAAGCCTTTAGTCGCAAGTCCTTGAGTGTACCGGGGTTACTTGCCCAGTTGAGATGAGGAGTGTGGGCCGTGAGCGCCGCGAGCTTCATGGCTGTGAGCCTGGTGGAGACGGATTGTGGCTTGGCCCTTTTGCGGCTGCTCAGCCGTGGGCATGCAGTTGTCGCAGAGCTCCAGCGATGTTCCGAAACCTTGCCAACCGCCATCAGGGGCGAGGGCGAGGTTGCAAAGCGTCTCTCGCCGGTGCTGCCGGACTTTGCAGTTTTCCGTCGCGAGGGCGCAGTTGAGAAGGTGGCTGGCACACCAGAGCTGATTGAACTTGATGAGGAAAGTCGTGAAATCAATGCAGATCCGGCAGAGCGCTTGTTTCGAGTCCTGTCTGCCATACGAAAATACTTTGCTGACCTCGCCAAGTTGCTTGAGGATATTGATGTCGGCGTCTTTGTAGGGCAGAGTCATGAGAGCATTCTTCGCGATTCAGCGGGTGCGGTCTTGCTCCCAGAGGCCATTGCTTTGCTGGGAACAATGATCCTCATCGTAGACGAACGCATTTCAGGGCCGTGTCGCGAGCGCGCCCTCGTTCTCTTCTATCGATGCACAGCAGGCACAAGCCGGGAGTCAGATGACTTTGCAGATGTCTGCAGGCTTTTCAAGTCAACTGCACGGCCAGAAAGGGACATTGATCTGGCGGGCAGAAGGCCCGGATACCCCGAGAGTTACTTCGCACGATTCCCACTCCATGAGGATGCGGTCCGTCTCGTGCTCGGTAAGCTGCAAACCGGCGATATCTACGAGGCTTCAAGGCACTATCCCTTACCTGAGCACCGGTCGCACGGCCTGTCTGCTCAAGCAGGGATGCTCTACGTTCTCCTATTCTTCCAAGCGAAGACGCTTGAATCTGATGCGATCGCTATGCGGGAGATCGTAGACCGGCACTTCGGTGACGTTTGGGTCGTGGCATATGCGCTTGGATACACAGCCGACCTGCTTCTGATGTGGGCCCCCTATCCGGCCGCACGCCAAGCGCTGAGCAATGCGATCACGGCAGGTACCGTGCGTCAACTCCAAGACCAGCACCTGGATCGACTGTCCAAGACACGGTCCAAGCTTGAGGAGTACTTGGTAGAAGGTGTGTTGACAGAAGACTACGTCTCGAGCAAAGTCTCCCAGTTGGTTTCTGTGCTGCGGGAGGCCAACACCAGCATCCGCTGGCTGCTACTTCAACCAAGCACCTTAGACTCGAAAATCCAGGTGGTTTGCAATAGCTCCGCGAAGATGAAGGAGCAGCTGCTGGGCACCTTGGTCGACACAGCGCTGCTGGAGGACAAGATCAAAGCCATCTTGGTCCCGCTGGTAGCTCGTCGGGATGCAGACTGGGCCCGTCAAAAGGAGGAGGCTGCCCAAGCCATGGATGATCTGGCTGTGTTCTTCTCAGGGCAGCATGCACTGCGTCGGAACGTTCGCAACAGTGAGCTGGAGGAGTTCTTCCGAAATTTGCAGCAGAGGATCGAGGAGCTTAGCTTCCAGACCCAGGAGGACCTTTTGGCGCTGGGAAGGAAGGTGGGCCAGATCAACAAGGCCCTGGAAGAAGTGGCGCTCTTCCATGAAGTCAGCCAACAGCCTCAGATCCTGCACTTTCTCAGTGACGCGAGGCAGCTGCTGCAAAGGATGCTTCGGACAGCCAGCCTCAGCTCAGATGTCCTCGAAACGATTGAGACTGTCGCGGACCTTTCTTATGCGTGGCGGGCCTTAAGCACGTACAAGGAGGCCATGGGCAACCTGCTTGCAGCATCGCCCGACAGTGTGAAGGGGCTGAGAGCTCTGTTTCTCAAGCTTGCTTCTATACTGGAAGCACCACTTCGGCGTATCAGGCAGGCCGGCAACTCCTCGCACGCATCCCTCGTTTCGGGGTACTACTCCAACAGGCTAGTGGAATTCATGCGGTCCGTCTTGCAGGAGATTCCGTGCCTGATCTTTCGCCTGCTTGGCCAACTTTCAACGCTCGAGTCGGCTCAATTACCAAAGAGCTTGCCTTCCAGGATAAGCTTGGTGGAGCTTCAAAGCTACGCGGAGAAGTGTGAAAAGGCAAGCAGTGAGGTCGGCATCCTCACACAGCGTATCGCTCTGCTAATGCGTGGCATCCGTGAAACGGATGTGGCACTTCTCGGTGCAGTGCTGGTGGATCCTCGGGCAGTCTTGCTCGATGGCCTGCGGAGAGAGGTGGCTCGTCGCATCGAGTCCTTGCTGGCAAGCTTATCTTGGCCCTCCGCAAGCAGCCGCCAGGATGCCGAGGCCCCACTGCAGCAGATGGCTGCGCAGGCCTTCAAGCTCCGTCGTTCCTTTGAGCATGTGCAGGACTACTTGGGCGTCAGTGCGCAGCAGCTCTGGCGGCAGGAATTCGGTCGTGTGGTTCGCTATCTCCTCCACATGGAGGAGCACCTCTTGTTGAGGCGTCGACCGGCACCCCCCGAGTCATCGCCTCATCACGACGCGAGTGTTCCGATCAAGTTTCCGGACATTTCCAATGGGCCGTCGGGTGGCTCCTTTATCAGCCGCACTCTGTCCATGCTGTCCGAGCTGACGGACCCGAAGTCCACCTCGGGCGGTTTCCACCACGATTGGCGCAAGTGCGATTCAAGCGGTGTGGCGACTTTGGACAGCTTGCTCCTTGAGCTGCTTATGGAAGCCATGGGGCCGCCGGGCATTGCGGCCATCTCCCGTATGCCGGGGCCTTGGTGGAGCACTTGGAGCAATCTTCTTCGACTGAAGGGGCTTTTTCTGCATGCCGCAGGTTGGCTTTGCGAGCGGCTGGGCGGGTGCGCAAGGTGCGACGGGATTCAGACCTCTGTCCAGATGACGTGGCATGACGCAGCTGCATGGAGCGCTTGTACATGATCATCGCTGCATGTGTAAAGGTCAAGGCGATCGTGGAAACCTCCGACAGACTAAGCCGTGACCTCTTCTAATGATTCGTCACAGGCTGTTTCGGGCTGCGCCGTGCTGCTGGCAAATGCGGAAGTACAGCAGCTGGCTGCCAAGGCTTTCAGGGTTTAGCTGTTTAGCCCATCGGGGTTCCTTTCGTGAGAGGCAGCTCGCCCTTTCATAATGCAGTGTAAAGGCAAAGTCGACCCTCCAAACGACGAGATCTGCCGCAGAGGCTCGTTTTGACTGGTTTGCTATTCCTCATCGGCTCTTTCTGATCTTGGGTTGTGCGCGAGAAGTTGTATGACACCTTTTCAGCTTGTGTAGCTAAGAAAGAGGTCCAGATCATAGATGATTCAGCGTTTGTGGTTGCCAAGCCCGCGATCGCCAGCCTTTTCGGCAGCCGTTGCCAAGATATCACCGCACCGACCGATCGTTCGGGAATGACGTGAGTGCAGCCAATGTTGGCACAGGGCTGCCCAGCTACAACCTGGGAAAGCTCATGCGCGTTGGCAGAGCTTCCCCAAGAAGGATCTGATTGCACCGTTTGGCGACCCTCTCCAGCGATGGAGGCAGCAGCGGCACCGTTCGAAGGTCTAGAATGCCCCAGCCGGTTCGAAAAGGTCTGGTATTTGAGGAGGTACTAGTTGTCATCGCTGACGGGAGGTGCAAAGAGGAACTAGGACCACGCGAAGAGAACAATGCCATCAGCGCTGTCACAACAGGTTTTGTTTCGTCGTGCCAGCTCGTGGATCTCCCTTTGAGATGTCTGCCGTCGCTGACCCGGAGTTCAGGGGCCATGCGGCATTATACTTGCCCAGATTCAGCAGGCAAGCAAGGCAAAAGTGAACAGCCTTGAGGGCGACTCACTCGCATAAATCGTCATCTGCACCCGTTCCCCACAAGGCATGGAGCTCAAAACTCTCTGGCAGAAGCCTGCGCAACCCTCGTGGTAATGCTGCGGTCCCGACATCGCCGGCAGGCCTTCCCAGGCTTACCTGCCTGGTAGGCCTGGGACGGCCTGCCACAGCAATCGCTGGCATTCGTGCAGTCGAAGAGTAGCCATCGCTCCTGCAAATGTTAGCATGCATGCTTTTGAAAGTACAAGCGCTTCGCAGTCACAACATCTTTTAGCCGATAACGACCTACCGATATGAAAATGTCGGTGCCGGATCCCTTCATGTGCTTGTAGGCTGCAATATTGTCACTGGCCCGTAATGGGCCACCCCGATCAGGTTCTGCGGACATCTGCCAGCCTTCTTTCAACCCAGGCTCGGACGCATTCCGCCATCACGGGTACACACTGTGAGCACCAACCAGAAACAGGTCGGTCCCCTGGGGGCGGCCTTGGCAAGCGTCGGGCAAGCGCTGCTCGTACGCCGACGCCTAGCTGCGCAGCTCAGGCACGTCGCCGCGGAGTCGCGCAGGTCAGGTCAACGGAGTTCTGATCTGAGAGGGCAATCTTGGCAGGCTTCACAGCAGCTTGGATGCTTCGCTGGTCAGCGAGTCTGTGGCCGTGCTGGACGGAAATGCCTGGAGCTCGGAATCTCCGAAAATGTCGATCGTGAGTTCTCCGACTGACTCATTGTGTGCCAAGCCGTGTCTGCTGCTCATCAGAAGGGTCCTTGTAGAACCGAGACTTTTGTTTCTTTCCATCGGTGTGCTGAGAAATCAGGGCAGGCACTCTCAGGTGCTTTTCGAGGTTTTGGACGACACAGACGAGACCGAGGCGGGTTGGGTGTCTCGTCTCCTTGGTAGGTCAAGGTCCAGTTCCATTGCAGGAATCTCTAAAAATGTAGAGCCAAGTGTCTGTTGCTGCCGACCAATACAGACATATCATCGGATCGGTTCTTGCGTTTTTTTCCTGCGTGTCGCCTCTCATCAAACGCACGACGAGTTCGCTGCGACAAAGAGCATCATCTTCAAGGAATCGTACTTGTGGTTGAAGCCTTTGTGTAGTCGCTAATCTACGCCAAAACCTGAACAAGTTCGAACCAAATCTTGTGCGTCCGCCGCTTTAGGCTTACGTGCAGCTAGCGCCCTAAACCGTAAACTGTCATCACATCCTTCAAAATTCGCTGTTCTGAAAGTCATCCTGGCTTGGAGCACCTTTGAACTTCTCGAAGAAGTTCTGCCTCAAGCCCATTGAACAAACCTATGTCCACCACTTCGAGGCAGACAACCCTGCGACCTAAATCCTGCATGCCCGAACCCCCAAACCAAAGAAACCCAGAACACACATCCTAAACCCCCAAACCCCAGATCCCGAACGAAAACGGTCCGACTCTGCTTTCAATGCGTGAAAAGAGAGGTGCAGGATGGTGAGCTGCCGAGTCTCTGGGACTTCGTTGGAGATGGCAAGGCAGCTTCGCCAGAGGCCCTCTCTCAGGGTATAGAATGTTTCGGATGTTTAAGGGTTTGGGAGTTTACGGTTCGGTGGGTTCAGGGGTTCCGGGAAGTAGTCTGTAGGGTTTAGGGAGAGTGGAAGTAATAGTGGTTGCTGAGGAGTGCTGTTGTTTGTGCTGTTGGGATTACTGTCATCACAGCGTTTCTGCGGTCGTTATTTGTATCGTTTTTGACGTAGTCTGAGAATTTGCTACTCATGTCATGGTCAGCATCACTACCATGGCTGTTACTGTACTCTATTTGTCATGCTTCGTTTTTTGCCAACGAACATGGCAGGATGACATGACAGAGTGATCATACAGCAAGATGAAAAGGTTGAGAACGTGCAGTTTGGGGACGGCTTAGAGGTGTTGGCATCGTGGCATCGTGACTCGTCCCTGCGCCAGCCATCCGGGAATGAACTCAGTTTTGCAGCGCATTTGTTTTTAGTGTTCTTACTAGGATTCCATGTATTGTCAGTGTGCTTCGGATGGTTCGGTTCGCTGTTTTGTTCACTCCTGCTGGTGTGATTCATGACCGTCGGTGCTTGGTGCAGTGGCCAGGAGACGCAGCTCCGCTTCCGAAGGAAGTTGGCGCGCATGGGGGAGTTGTGGGGCTCCTGGCCCTCTGATTCCACCGGAGAATGCGAAGGAGAAGTTGGGACTGAATGGGTGCGTTAGAGAAGAGTGTAGACAGTGTAGGAGTATGCAGGGTCCATCTCTTCGATTGTAGCAGCCAGGTGCAGAGTCCAGTCAACCAAGAACTTGAACCGCGTTTCGCTTTCACCAAGAAGTCCTTAGGGAAAGCTTCAGCCCGGAGGGATCAGAAGCCGAAGCGAGCGCTTTAGGCCGGGCTTTGCTGACCCTCTACGTCAGCTCATGCAAGTGGTGCCGGAAGGCGAGGTCTATTCAGAGTTTAAACCTGTTCAAATGAAGTTGCCCTCGCGCAGAGGCTCCGCTCCGTCTGACATGGACATGTTGATAGCCCTGGCTCTGGTGCAATATACCACCTCTGTATCTCCGGCGGCAGCGAGCCGCAAGGCTCGGGGCGCCAGGACGACGGTGTAGTGGCGAACATCACATGTGTGACATGTGCCAGAGTGCCAGTCTCAAAAACGGCCCACGGCGTGGAGTGGCAAGCCGGCCGGACAGCTCGGGTCAGCAAAGCAACTTGCTGGGAAAATTTCTGTCACAGACGTGAGGTCCTGTCGGCCTCACCGGGCGGCTTCCGCCAAGAGGCAAATTCGCGGCCTTTAGCCATACTGTTGATGAGTTTGTGTACTCCTTAGCAGGCCCATGTCAGCTTGGGCGCGGGCCTGGCTGCACTGCTTCAGCAGCTTCCAAGGAGGATTCTGCAAGGCACGCTGGGGCCCCGGCCCGCCTGGCTCGCATGAAGTGATGTGCTTGAAACCACTGGTGAATTACGATGTTTGTCTTCCTTCCTAGGTTCCAGATATGCGGGCTTTACCTGCAGAGCATCTGCTCCGGGGACGACAGCAGCCAGGCATATTTGTGTGCAAGTCATTTGTCAGGCATCACATGTCACACCGTGTCCCGGCCGCGGCACATGCTCTTGAAGTGGAACAAACTTACCTGGAGGCTTGTGATGTCGAGCCGTATGGTATTCCACCCCCCCGGCTCAGAAGAACGAGGTATTCGGATGTCATACCACAATGCCAGGCCTGGGCAGACGGTGCTGTCATGATCCAGATCCTATCGAACTGCCTCGAGACGGGAGCCCAGCATAAGCTTGTGTTGTTGATGCTCGATAATATCAGTGACTTCAGCAGGTACTGTCAGCCGAATGCGAGCATGGTGACAGTTCTTTGCAGAACTGCGAGCAACGCAAAGCACATCGCACCATCCCGCAAGATAATCGCAGCACATACCAACAAGTCAAACGAACGAAGCCTGGTGAGAAAGCGACAAAGTAGAAACAGCACCGTCATACAGTCACACACAGGATACAACCGTACCCTGACTGGCATTATGGGTCATGGCAAGGTAGTACTGCAAACCAACCCCGCATTAGCAGAGAGCAAACTGCTGATATTTCCTGAGAACGTGGTTCAGTGATAGATGTACTTAGACATGTACTGCTGCAGAGACAGAGAACATGAGAGCAGCACAAATGGCGCTGTGGGCAGCGTGGTACTGAACCACATCATGAAGGAAAAGCTGGCAGCCCCACGACCCACTTCCAAGCTCGTGCGGAGCCATGTTGGGAGCCAGCGAGAGCGACTCGCCAGCAGGCCGAGATACAAAACAAAGTGCCAGCTGAAAGAGGGGCTTGCTGAAGGTGGTGTGCAGCTGTCAAGTCATGATGTTGCAGCATGTTTCACAGCGCAGGTCAGCGTTTGCGAGGTTGGTTTCACCACGGATGTTTGTCGTTCGCATCAGCGCTCCTGGCAGCTTCTTTTGTGTTGATTCGCCGTTGCATCGTTCGATCTGTTTTTCTGCAGACAGCTGAGAAGCACCCGCTTTTTGCGAGCTCATCGCTCTGCGCAGCGCTTCTCCACACCGCAGGTTGCCCTGATGGACTCCAGTGGCCTGCTCACCAAGTTGTCTCTCTGGACATCTTCGCCGCATCTGCGACCTTGCTGCAAAGTTTGGCTTTGCACCGTGAGACCTATACGGGGGTTGAGCAGCGCCCGGCTGTGAAGCTTAGCTTTGCAAGGAACATGTCGCTGCAGAAAGGCCGTCGGGTCGTTGCACGTCTGCTCGCGTCCATCGTGCATGTCAGAGATCAAGCAAAGCAGCCAGCTTGCCAGGTCCGCGACATGGTTACCGAGGTTTCAGCCTCGGCAGCATGCAGGGCGTGTACTTCGGCTCAGTCCATGTTCACAGTTCTCAGGTGATGTTCGTTGTTGGACGCCTGCGAACACGAAGAAGCTGTGGACAGCTCGCACAGCAGGCCCGAGTCTGCAAGATCACAGCAGAAGTGATGTGGCTTTGGAGTGCTTTGCTCAGTCGCTTCGGATTTCTTTCGAAGTTTTGAGACAGGCTTCGTGTCCAGGGATCCCCGGTGTGATTGTTGAAGTTTGGGATGTCGGCTCCTCTTGCTTCGAGGATTGATTTGTTGAAACAGCTTCGGAGCCGAGGCACTATAGAGTTTCCGTGGCCCTGCGCTCCCGACCAGACAACTAAGCAACGGCATTGTCTGCCTTTGATGCTCGCACATCTTCCCCCCTCTTCAACGAGCCCTGATTTTCAAACCCCAAACCCTAAACCCTGAACCGAGAACAAACCCTAAACGCTCCAGAGGAACTCTTGAGCCAGGTGAGGTGGCCGTCCTCCGCACCCGCTGGGCTCTTCGAGACTTCTGCTGCTCTCTTGGGCGCACGTCCTCCTGCTGGCAAGGCCTCCGGGTGTTTCGCTTTTGGATTTTTCGAGTTTCGGGTTGGGATGGTTAAGGGGTTTGGGTTTGGGTTTGGTGGGTTTGGCGCGAACGTGAAGACGTGCAGCTGCGTACTAAGCGTCGGTTTGTCGAAGACAGCGCTTGGAACAGATAGAAGGCAAGTAGAAGAAGTAGAAGAAGAACAAGCGTAGTGGCATCACTCGAGCAGATGAAGAAAGCCTTCACCGAAGTCATAAACGCCGAAGACACAATGGGCACTAGTCATGAACTGCAACGGTGGCAGTGGTAAGACTAGTGGCAGAGTATCCTTAATTTTCAGGCAAGTGAGCGTAATAAGACACGATAGTTTTGGCCGCAAGGATCGCATCAGCTGTGCTATGCTGCCACATCACTTCACTACTGATTACGCTACTATGCTGTTGCACTGCTACACTCCGATGCAATTCTTCTAATGCTACCACTACTACTACTACTACTACTACAACAACAACAACTACTACTACTACTACTACTACTACAACTACTACTACTACTGATACTATTACTACTACTACTACTACTACTACTACTACTACTACTGCTACTACCACTACTACTACTACTACTACTACTACTACTACTACTACTCCTACTCCTGCTACTACTACTACGACTACTACTACTACTACTACTACTACTACTACTACTACTATCACGACGACGACGACTACTACTGTAACTACTACCACGACGACGACGACTACTACTGTACTACTACTGTGCTAACAGCAACCATTGCAAGAATCTCATACACGTGTTCTCCACATTGCAAGAAGCGATGAAAGTGGGCACACCAGTGGTCGTGAGACTAGCAATACTTTCCCAGTCTTGCTCCAATTTGTTTTTGGTCTGGCTGGGGGCTCTGGCTTTCTACTGTGATAGCCACGCAGCCGAGCAGCAGGAACGCTGACCTTCAAGCGCTGCTGCACACAGACCCGGGCCACTTCCAGCTCACAGTGGAACACCCAGGAAAAGGAGGCGTCGTGTTGGCCTTCTCCTACAATAACCCGAACATGCTGCGGCTTGCGCCCAGTGCTAAGACCGTTGTTTTCCACTGATGAATCTACATGAAACTTCGATTTCGGGACCGTGCAGCACAGGTCTCGTTGGCCTGTGTGCAGCACTCGTGTGGCGCAACGCGACCTGGGATCACCTTGCATTATGCTGTCGTGGCAAAATGCCAGGCCCGACCAGGCCAGCTTTTTCAGCGGGCAGTACGGTGTAGCACGCGGCAAGAGCTTAAAGCACAATTGCCCAGCACCTGCTGGCACCAGGCGTGGCGAAGCCTTTCTAGCTGGCTGCTATCGGAGGCTTCACTTCCAGGCGCTTTTTGTGTCTCTTCGTTTCTGATGAGCTCGCAGTATTCGTGATAAGCGCTCATACTTTTTGCAGGCAGACACTGTGCTACACCATGACAACAATCTCCTGATACACCAGAGTTATGAGGTAGGCACACATGTCATAAGCCAGCAATGGACTGTAGCGGCGGCATGATATGGCATCATGAAACACACAGCATCATCAATGACACTGGCATATTGGTATAATCCCAGCACGAGCAGTACGGGAAATAAGGATAGTAGTAGCATAGTAACAGTAGTCGTAGTAGTCGTCGTAGTAGCAGCAGTAGTAGTAGTAGTAGTAGTAGTAGTAGCAGTGCTAGTAGTAGCAGCCGTAGGAGTTGTAGCAGTAGTAGTAGTAGTAGTAGTAGTAGTAGCAGCAGTAGTAGTAGTAGTAGTAGTAGTAGTAGTAGTAGTAGTGGTAGTAGTAGTACTAGTGGTAGTAGTAGTGGTGGTGGTAGCAGTAGCAGCAGTAGGAGTAGGAGTAGTAGTAGTAGTAGTAGTAGTAGTGGTAGTGGTAGTAGTAGTAGTAGTTGTAGTAGTAGGTGGCAGTAGTAGTAAGTCGTAGGCGCAGCAGCAGCGGCAGCAGCAGCAGCAGTAGCAGTAGCAACAGCAGTAGAGGTAGCGGTAGCAGTAGCAGTAGCTGTAGTAGAAGCAGCAGCAGCAGTAGTAGTAGTCGTAGTCGTAGTCCTATAGTCGTAGTAGCAGCAGCAGCAGCAGCAGCAGCAGTCGCAGTCGCAGTCGCAGTCGCAGTCTTAGTAGTCGTCGTCGTAGCTAGTAGCAGTACTGGTAGCACTAGCAGTAGTAGTAGTAGTAGTAGTAGTAGTAGTAGTAGCAGTAGTAGTACTAAGTAGTAGTAGTAGTAGTAGCAGCAGCAGCAGCAGCAGTAGTAGTACAGCAGCAGCAGGAGCAACACAAGCAGCAGAAGCAGCAGGAGGAGCAGCGGGAGTAGTGCGTAGTGATAGTAAGTTATGGTAGTGGTAGTGGTAATACTTCCAAAGCTGCGATGACGGCAAAGTATAAATAGCTAGGCAAGATCGGAAGGCTGTCAAAACGACTACGGTACAATGCGAATGACAACCTTCGAAAACTCGGACGATTGCTACTACTGATGCTAGCACTGTTGCTGGTCGCAATTTCGTGCAACGATGTTCTTATCAATAGCACCACAGAGCAACAGACCTGGCCATTGAGGACATAACTTTGCAGCTCGGTGTGCGGCTGACCGGATTGCCACGCCTTCGCCCAGCCAACCTTGGGGCTCTGGAGCGAAGCTCAGATTATACTGCAACAGGTTACATCAACGACGGCTCATTCGATCTTTTGGTCTTTTTGCAAGCTTATTGCTTTGTCTGCAAGGCACCATACTGCTAGAGCAGCTTGCCGTTGTATTGCAATGGAATGCTTCTGAGATGCCCATGTCATTTCCCTCGTGAGGTGGAGCACTATCATCGAACAGGCGATGCTCTTGTGCCCATGCTGCAGCTGCAGGATGCGCTCACTGGCATCAATGCTGCGTTCTCATCGTATACTTGCGATGAAGTTACATAAAAAGTGAGACTTCTCAAGAGTCCTCGCATGCCCAGATTGATGGCCTTGAGATCTGCGCGCCTGCAATGATACTTGCGAAGCTTCTGGAGGCACTTCCATTATCCCCAGCACACCTGCAGACCATGCCTATTTGAGGTTGAGCGGGACAGTCTTTCAGTAAGGCCGGCTTTGACAAGGCCGCTATGTGCTCATTGCCAAATTAGTACAAGCTTCTACATTCGTGTTGCTGTCAAGGTCCCGGCTAGCTGCGCTGAAGCATTTCTGGTTCAGCTTGCAGCGAGAAGGCCCTGACTCATCTGTCTTGCCATCCGAGCAAAGCAGCAAGAGCCTCGTTAAATGGATACAGTTGCTCAGCCACAACCAGGGACCCTAATTAGGTTGAAGGGGTCGCCCACACCATGCTTGATACACCACATGACACTATTGTTTTCCAAAGATACGTAACTGTAAGGACCATGCACTGACGTCAGAAACTCCTAGACCAGTGCATGACAGCACGTACGAGTATTTACGGTAAGTATTCGGCATATTCCGAGATGTGAAGCTTCGGGTACATGTCTACGAGTTTATGATATGAGAACTGAGAACATATCATAGGCATGTGCGGCACGTGCAAGATTATACTACTAGAACAAAATGTGATGCTGGACCTGTTTAGCAACAGCACATTGTGCGTCAAGCATGACTGGCGAGCAACATGACCACGCCTGTCTGTGTTTCGCATGCTATATGTGTGCAGGCGGAGTTTTGATAATTTCTTTTCTGTACATCCATTGTGTGAACATCCAAAAAATCTAAGAATGTGTTGCTCTCTACTGACAGTCTGAAGATACTGACTGATCCGCAGCGCTGTAGAAAACGAGAGATTCACGCATTAGAGAAGAAAGGTGAGTCTTTCAGTCGCGTGTTGCCATGTGGAAGGCTTTGGTGCGCAAGCACTGGCCTGGGAGAACGCCACTTTGCCGGTGCCAAGGCGCTCAGGAGCGGTGTAGAGAAGCAAGGTCATGAAAGGTTGCAGGGTGGTGGTCTGCTTCAGGATCCTTGCCTGTCTCCGGTGATCAAGTGTGAAGCTCAGGGCCCAGATTTTGTCGCTTGTTGGGGCTCGGTGCTGGCGCGAATCTTCCCAAGGTTCCCAAGCATTGGTTGAACCTGACAGCGGCCAGCATCTATCGGAGTCTTCATCGCATTGATGCACAGGCACGGTGCTTGGCTCCTGCAGCGAAGACCGCTAAAAGACCAGCCTTTCGCGCCTCCCGTGTGCAGAGGTCAAGCAGTGGACCTCTGTGGCAGCTTTACGACGAAGGGTCGGCTTTAAGGCGGGGGCCTTGAGGATTTCCCTCGGAGCGCCTCATCCCTCTCACGAGAGGAGTCTCTTTTCTGGTCATAAAGGGCGATGGGCAGAGGGCTTTCTAGTGCAGCACAGTGTGGGCTCGGAGGTGAACGTGGTGATGCCCTTTTGCGCCCGAGCAGACGGAGAGTATCTGCCGCAGCTGGAGTCTTTGATTCTGCAGGACTCAAGGGTTGAACGGTTCTCGCGAGTGAAGAGCCAGGGGTTGAGCGGTCGTGGCATGTGGAGTCCAAGCCAGAAGTTGACATACATGGTTGCCGTGTTGTCATTTTGCTGTGTGAGGAGTCGCTGCCTCTAACCGAGGCCCAAGCTGCACAACTAATGTTCGTACAGCTTAGGCTTGGAGACTGGTTGCCGAGTCCAGCAGTCCGGCGATGCTGCGAGGCTGTTCTGTGAGACGTGCTGAGCCTTTGGCAGGTTGTCGACCTATACATCTACGATATTTGCTATGCCTTCTTCGATGTCAGCAGTTCTGCCTACAGCCTGGAAAATGAGGCAAGCGCCAACGTTTTGAGATGGTGGGTATGATCCATTGCATTCACAGTGCAGTTCTCATCCACACGACCGGGTGATGAGGCAGAGGTGGAAATCGATCTCTCCTCCGGCTCAGAGCGCGCAGGCGCAAGATTGAAAGCCCGATGCAACCTGAGAAGCCAAGCGGATTTCTAAGCTCATAGGCATGGTCGGTCGATCTACGCCAGTTCGCTGCAGCAGGGTGCGACATAAGCCTTTCTCTTCGTTGCAGGATCGTCCCATTCTCTGGTGGCTTTATCGTCCTCATTGCTGCGGGTGGCCAAGTACTTCAGGCAAGGCCATAGCTGCCATAGCTGGAACTGCGTAGGGTTCGTTTGCTATGGTTTAGGGTTTGGAGTATCTGAAATGTTGGGGAGGTTGCTGTATGATAGGCCACCGTTGGGTACTAAACAGGCGTGCTTTCGTCATCCCCTTCCATGAGGCTGGCCGCTCTGTGTTCGTTGTGATGAGTATAAGGTTGGGCCAAACTCTACAGCCATTTCGGAGTAGCTAGAGCATCGTCGCTTTTCTGAGATCCTGTAGTGAGACGCTACTGTTCGTCTTTTGTTTCATAGGCGCCTGTAGCTGCTGCCATGGTTGTGCCTTGAAGCAGGAGATACCTACTGGTGAGGTGTCCCCGAATCTCCATCATGTCGCGCAGCACTATGACGATCTGCCCGCCTTGACCTTGGCACCTCCCGTTCACTTCAAACTCATCGGTCTTGTTGAGAATACCCCGCGAGGACTTCATGTTGTTCATCCATGTGGATGTGTACGAGCACGTGGAAGTCCCGGCATTGGTGTCAGTCCTGAACTCTTTCGCGCTGAGGTCCGGAATCCGAAGCCGTGCCCAGTGCATCAAAACACTCGTCGCAGGCTTTGGCCGCGGGAGCTGCCCTTCCTGCATTTGGGCCGTCGGCACAGTGGGCCCATCGATGCGTTCTCGGCTTAGGGGCTTAGGCTTCGGCCAGAGGGCACCGCTTTGCCATGTGTAGAGCGGTCTGCGATGACTTCCAGGTCAGGACGAGTGCGTTCGGAGATACGATCGTACTGCCGAATGCGAGCACCCAGGGAGGTGCAAGCAATCGGTCTGCTCTCTGTGTTAAATGCACCGGCACTTCCACGGACAGGGTATGCAGCGGAAGACAGCTCCATCCATCTTCCGAGGAGACTGGTAGAGTTGTTTCGCTTCGCCTGCCAAAGGTGCCCGGCATAGAATCAGGTGCAATGACACTAATGATGTTCATGACGGAAGAACATGCTGCTTGGCACAGCCCAAACCTTCAGCAACGCCATTGCATTGAAGTGCTACTTGTAGCAGTAGTGGTCGTCGCCTTTCTCATCGTCGTGGTCGCGCAGCATCTGTAGCAGTAGCAGCGAAAGCAGCAACAATAGCAGTGGTGCGAACGAGTAGTCGTTGTCCTTGTCGTCGCCGTGGTGATGTGGCAGTGAGTTTGGGATTCCTGATGATGATGGCTGTGTTGACAGTCACAACATGTCACAAAGAGGCTTTGTCGCAGCTTGAGGAGACTCCGTCCTGGAGCGCTACACGGTTCGTACACCCTCAGGCTACGCAAGCGGATCCCTGGATTCAGTTCCGGTTCGAGCTCATCGTCACCCCGTACTTGTGATGCGGCCTTTTGTGAATCGTTGCAGGCTGGTACTGCCAGTGGGTGGAGTTGGCTTGGGAGCTGCTTTTCCACCAGCCACCGCAGCTTCCGGAGGCTGCTCAGAGAGGCGTTTTGCACCGCACCTCCCGTTCCTCCAGAGATGAGAGCCAGGACGACTACGGCGGCTATGACTACGGTCAGTTCGTGGCCAGCCGGGAGGCCGCAAAGGCCAGGCCAAAGGCAGGGCTGCACCGGTGTCGTCTCTGTCGCAACGGTGCCCAGCCAGTGCATTCTAAGATGTGGGTATCGGTCTGGCTGCGCCTTTTCTCTCATCACTCTTCTCGTCCAGCTCCTGATGCAAGTCGTGTCATGCCCTGCAGAGGCTTTTAAAGCTCCAAGTGTGCACTTTGTCAGCTTTCATAACATGCTTGCTGGACCCGGGAGGCGTTCTGGCAAAATGGATGGCGAGCTCTGTGTAGCTCGCACCTTAGATGCCTGCTGCAGGTTGCCCGGCGTTTTAACTTTTGTTGGGACGATCACCCTAGAGTTGATGGCCTATGTCAGGTGGCAGCAATTACCGGCTCCTTCTCGGAACAAAGTTTCTGTCTTGGAAGGATTCGGAGTTGGAGTGCTCCGCATGCAGTACAACAAGCACGAATCTGCATCCAGGACCTGACAGCAATGGAGAGGACCAAGGAGGAGAAATTCACCTGGTTCGGCTTCCACAAGGCTCGAGTAACATGCATGATCATGCATGTGCTTCCTCTCTCAGTCTGCCTGCTTGTAATTGCGAGAGGGGTTGGAAATGGCCTTCGAGCACTGGCCTCACTTGCAGCGGTTGATCTGTTTCCTTAAAGCTTTGCTCCTGTGACTGTGACGGTTCCGAGACCACGAGGCACCTTTGGCACGTGGTCTTCCACCCAGAGGCCCGTCTGACCTGTGAAAAAATTACTGCAGTGGAAGTGCAAGAATGTCTCGAATCTTGTGAGATGTGTAGGCATTCGTTCAAGAACGTACGAGTTGGCGTGGAGTGAAAGTCTGCTGGACGAAGTCGGCGCTCTGTGCCTTACCAGGGTTCCAGATTCCAGAGAGGTGAAAAGAGAGAGTCCGTAGCTCTTGTACAGGTCTTCGTGGGAGTACTTAGTACTTGTAACAGAACATCAGGGACTACTCGTTAGACTGCACCCAGGAGAAGGAAATCACGTCTTCAGAGAGACATGAATCACGAGTCCTGTCCATCCCATATTGATGCCAAGCTCGTGCAGTTGCATGCGGGTGATACAGAACATCGGGTCTGGTCGTTAGTAACAAGAGCTTGACAGCGTCACCGGCCAGCAGGATGATTGTTGCACTGTGGGTATCATTGTCATCCTTCACTGTTGCAATTCTTCGGCAGATTCTCCTTTTGACCCTTATTCTGCGGATTATGCGTTCAGTTTTTCCTGCGGTCTTGTTAGGTGATTGTGTCTTCGTTCTGTTTTTCACCTTCTGCTTGTCTCTGAAGTCACCAGTGCTGATGATGGTAGTGCTGCTTGAAGCTGATGGTGATGAGATGATGGTGATGGTGATGGTGACGGCGGTGATGGTCACCGTGATGTGGCGGTGGTTACGACGATGACAGCTGCAATAATGATGATGACGAGGACGGTGGTGATGGTGACAATGGTGATATGGTATTGATGATCAGATTTGTTTCTGCCATTTATGCGCTGGTGTTGCCATTGGCCATGCCAAAGCTCCCTCGAGACTTCACGCCAGGCTGCGACCTGGCTCTGGCCCAGCAGGCTTGGTGGCGTCTGGCGTCTTAGAGTCTATCTATGGCGTCAGGTCAAGGGAGCTGTAGAGGCAGAGCTAATGAAGTAGCACGAACAGTAGGAGTAGTAGTAGCCGTCGACATAGAAGCAGCAGTTGTCGTCAGGCATCGTCGGCTTCGGGGTTGCATGACATGTCGCTTCCTGCATTCTGACCACATGGATGTGCAGGCTGAGGGATCCATCACTTCCTCTTGGACTAAAGTTTGCCATGAATGGTGACCCGACGCTGTGAGAGCCCAAGCTTCAAGCTGTTGTTAATGGAGGTCGGTTTCTCCTGTTTGCTTAGTTTCTGCTAGATGGCAGTGAGTCGCTGCACCTGTGTAGACAGATGGCCGAATCCGAGGCTTCGATTCTACCGATGGACTCCCCACGATCCGCTTTAGGCGTGTCGTGCGCCATACCAGAAGTGAAAAAAGGCGTGCTGCTGCTTTCCAGGCATGCTGGTTTCGCCTCTACTGCTGTCTTTTTGGGGTGAGATCGGGGGTACAGCTCCATTTTGCTCCGTGCTTTGATTTGCCGATCCGAGGCTGTTGGGATTCCCAAGGGTGCATCTGGCGGAGTTCGTTCCGCAGGGCTTGCCCCTGCCTTGGTCAAAAGGACTTCGGATCGCGGATTTGGGAAGCTCTTTTGACAGGCTTCGACCTTCTATTCTCGGGCTTCCAATAGCAAGCAGTGGCCAGTGTGGGCAACAGCGCTTGTGAAGCTAGCTGATGCTAGCTGCTAGCATGCTTGGCCAAGGCTTGACCTATGGCAGAGCGACTGACGCCAGAGCCATGCACTCGTGTTAATGAGATTTTGGCGCCCAACTCGGAGCCGCTTGGGCTTCTTACCTCGAGGAGTCGCCCAACTCGGAGAATCGGTTTCAAAAGATGCTTGCAGCTGATGCCGTTCGATGCACGCAGCGAGGTTGAGTCGAAGCACGGGCATTGCGTGATGATTTGCATTTTCTCCTCCCAGCCACTAGAACCACGACAAGCCAAGCAAGCATCGTGACATGGGTGTAGTAAGCATCTAGATAAAAACCTAGCTCAGCTTGGGGCAATCCACTTCGATATCGCAAGGAAGCTTGGCGGCGGATCGGGCCATGGCGAGCATCGGCCAGCCTTCGATGCTCAGGCAATTGGCCGACAAGGCCCAAGCCAGAATTCGATCTGTCCGATGGTCCGGTGCCAGGCTCTGGCAACTCCCCAACCCGCGCTGCAGCGCATGTGCCGTCAGCTCGACAGCAGGAGCCTGGGTTATTTAATTTCAGGCAGCGGAGCAGCAGCTTTTTCCAGGACAGCGGGCCTCCGCAAGGCGTCCTCCAAGAGGCTCGAATGCGGCTAAGTTGCAGATGACGGCGACGGAAACGATTGTTCCCCTGATGATGGTGGTCTTCTCTCGCCGCAGAGGGAGTATGCGTTGCGACTGCTTGGGCGATACACCTAGTACCGGCGTCCATTGGACACAGCACTGAGGCTCCCACAACCCAAACTGTGCCGTCATACCTTCCGCCCCGCAGGGCCCATAAGCGGAGGCATATGTAGCAGCAGAAAGACATATTCCAGAAGAAGGGTACAAGGGTATAAATAAAAGTGCGATACTTTTGGCCCCAGCTTTAGAGCCCGCCCCAGGTCTAATCTACGGGCCATAAGGATCACGTAAAAAGGGTAAAATAGAGACATAAGCATACTCATGTCATGACCGCTTGACTGGATCAAACATCCTTTCTGTGCAACACAAAGAGTTATGAGCTTGACAGCACCTGACTTCTTTATTAATTCGGAAAAAACGTTTGGGAGTGGCTTGACGATGATCGTCACTAGTGTACGAGATCCTGCCATCTCTCAGGAAGGCCGTGCGGTAATGGCCTTGAAGGATTGTAGGGCCGAGGTGATAGGTGATGCACTCTACCTTATACTCAACCTATTCTACTTCCGAAGTGGGCCCTATGAAAACCGGTGACGATGATGACGATGATGATGTCGATGAAGAAAATGAAGAAGAAGGAGAAGATGATGAGTTCGGCAATGATTATGGTTCTGCGGACGTCGCGATGACACTGATGCTACGGTTGTTGATGATGTTATTGGTCATGTCGTGGCTGTGGTGATCGCCCGAAGGAAAACTCGGTCCTTCCATTTTCTGTACAGTTTTATTCCTGTCGCAAGTCTCGATGTTCTTCATTTTCTATTCTGCGAAGCGGAGTACGCTTTAGGAATTATGCTTTGCGAGAATCGAAGGCCAAAGGCTGCTCAGAACTACTTCTTGAAGTTGTGATTAACCAGGTTTATAATATAGGACCGGTATAGGAAGTACCACCAGGCGTATCGAGCAAGTCGGCTGCCCGATGTTACTGAGCTCACTCAGATTACCAGCATACTGACACCTTGTTTTTGTCAGCTGCGATGAGTTCGATACGTACCTGGTGCAGACAGTGCTAGCTGGCATGCTAGCTGCTAGCATGCGGTTTCGCTTGTGTCTATCGGTTTTGTGGTCGATCGTGCCTGGTATTCTTGACCCCGACACCCTGAACACCCAAAACCATGCAGGCTCAAACCTAAAGTCCTTCGGAGGCCCTGTGGAGTTGCACAGTGCCGTTCTCGGCGCCGCCACTTGGCTTGCATTGGCTTCGGATGTCATGAGTCCGTTTCTTTGGTGGGTTTCGGTGATTCGGATCTATGGTGCCAGGCTTGGCATTGCGATGTTTATTGTTGATATTGCTTGTTTTGGGGTTCAGGCCTTCTGATCTTCTGTCGGTTAGGGTGAGGTTTGCACCGGTGTAGGTTGGACCAAAACGACAACCGGAAGCGTGTGGGTGTATTTGCTGTCGCAGGCCCGCCCCTGTTTTGAAAAACAGGAAAATGGAGTGGGCCAGATGTTCAGCTACGGCTAAGACCTGCCACCCCAACGGCGGAAAGGCGTCAGCGGACGTCAGGGATGCAGGCTTTTCTGGCAGCCAAACACCAGCTCTGCATTCTGAACATGCTGGAAGTCGGTCGGTTAGGCTTTCGGGTTCTGAAGATCCAGCGTTTGGGTGTTTAGTTAGAGTTAGAACCCCGGACTCAAGGGTTCAAGGTTTAGGATGTACCTCCTCGGGCTTTCAAAACTTGGGGACATGTTTAAGGCTTCGGATCTACGTCTTGGGTGGCATGGGTGGCGGGTTTGGGACTTCCGGAATTCAGGGTTTGGGATTTACGCGGCTTGGGTTGTTTGAAGGGAGAGCGACTCTGGGGATCCAGAATTCTGCATTTGGGATTTAAGTCCAGGGCCTGGGATTAGGGTTTGACTTAGAACTGGGGCGAGGATGTAGGACAGGTGTTTTGATGTCGAACTTTGCGTTGTCTTTGGGATTTCCGATTTGGGTTTGGGGTTTGGGGCTGTAGCCTTTCGACTTCAATGTTGGATTTAGAGATATTTAGGTTTAGAGTTCAGTTCGGTGTTTGAGGCATTTTCAGGCTTGGTTTTTGCCTGGCATCCAAGAAATTGCAGTGTAAGTTCGGGCTTTGGAGCGTTTTGCTTGGTTTTTTTGGGGTTGTTTTCCGGCGGGTATTGGGGGTTTAGGAGGGCTTCGGGTGTTGGGAGTGCGGGGCTTTCGGGTTTAGCACCTTCATTGACTTTAAGGCTTCCGGTTCCTTGGACCGAGACCAGGGCCCTAAAGCCCTAAGCCCTAAACCCTAAACCCTAAACCCCATCCAGGGACCGGCTCATGATATGTGGAGGGGCAAGTGGTACCAGAGCCATAGGGGAGCTCTCCCTTCTGACTTCACCGACCCTAAGGCTGTCTTCATGCTGAACCCAGAAGACATCGTGGCTCTTTATGGCCTCCGAGCAGATAGCAGCCCTCACCAAGAGGCGGAAGAAGCCTTCTCGGACTATGTGGAGCCCCATGTCCTCACCATCGGTGAGTTCCGGACTGTGCCTCCGATGGAAGCCCCAGATCGGAACGTCCTTATCCGCCCAGTTCTGGCCGGAAACCTCAATGCGTTTGTCCACCCAGAACTGGTTGGGGGAGATGGCCTGCCACACCTGGTGGGAGACAATCCAGTACCCGGGGCCGTGACCTTCACTGCGGAGTCTCCTGATGCAGTCCCTGTCCGTGGTTATGGCTCTACCTGGGGTAATGACAAGGCCGGTGCCCGAATTGTGAACATGGCCTTCCATGTGGGGATCCATGTCACTCACGACCCCCAAGGGTTCGCAGCAATTTCCAACATGGTGCATACTGATACTCCTGGGCTATACCGATTTGACCAGTACTGCCTGATGCTGGCGGATGTGAAGAAGTCCCCGATCCGTCGTGAGGCTCTTATGGCGGGGGTCATCCTCAACCCAAGCATGGTTGGTGGATTCCCTGCAAATGCAGCAATCCACGGACAAGCCCCCGATTTTTCCACAATCCTGACTTCCGGCTACCACACTCAAGTGACCTTGAACTACCCTCCGGAACACCGTGTGTGGCTTGGGGCCGTGGACGTTGGCGCAGCCAGGAACAACAACCGGGTGGACTACATCATCCAAGGCCGTGCCGTGGCCGGTGGTGCTGCCCAGCCTCCTGTGTTGTCGGTCAGAGGGGTCCTGGTCCCAGTTGCCTTTCCACCTGGCAATCTGGTCCCTGTTGCGACCGCCCAGGCGGCTGTTGCCGATGGTCTACTTAACCCGGCCCGTTACCTCAACAATCTCATGACTGATGTCATCTCTTCCGGACATGATGGAAATTCGGATGGCCATTGCTTGGGCCAAAAGGAAGATCGCACACAGCCAAGGGTGAGGTTACCGAAGCCGAGGCTGTGCTCCAAGCCTTCGGTGACCACTTCGCTATTGCTGAGGAGGCCACTGCCACTGCTCTTGCCCAGCTGCCCAGGAGCGAGGTTCAGGGGGCAGCGCCGGAGCTAACCTTGCTAGCTGGCGCACCCACGCTGGCGGATTTAGCGGCGTCCTTTGCATCGCTTTCACCGGGTAAGGCCAGTGGGATTAGCGGGATCCCACCTGAAGCATACCAGGCCTGTGCGGCGCGTGCGGCCCTGGCGCACATGCCGCTTCTCCTGAAGTCCATGTCCCGTTCCACTTTTCCGACTTTGTGGAGTGGCCTCCGGGCCCACCCCATCCCGAAACCGGGCAAGCCAGGAGACCGCCTGGAAGGTTTCAGATCAATTGCTCTTGTTGAGCCGGCGTGCAAGGCAGTACTGAGATCAACAAGGCGGGACCTGCTTGAGTGCTTCGAGAAGCACACCATCTCCACGATCGGTGGAGCTAGGAAGCGCTTTCCTGCCGACTTGCCTTCGCTTTGTGTCCAGGCACATGCTGCACGGCTTAAAAAGCGTGGACTGGCTGGATCCATTCTGTTTGTGGATGGTGTGTCGGCATTCTACGCGGCGCACCGTGGGCATTTGTTCACTCAAGATGCCTCCGGCCTGCGTGCTTATTTCGATGGGCTTGCGCTTGAGCCCTCTGTCCGCCAGCGCGTCCTTCGTGCCTTTCACGACACTGGTGCCCTTGAGCGGGCAGGGGTTGCGGCACCTACCGTGTTGCTGCTACGGGCAGCTTTGGCGCGGACTTGGTTCTCGGTCGACTTGTCTGCTCATCAGGTTTATGCCACTGCGAAGGGAACCACGCCACTCCGCAGTCCTGGCTTGATGATGTCACAATCCTGGTTACATCCAGCACGCCAGCGGATGTTGCCCGTGACACAAGCCGAGCGGCGGCCTTGGTGTGCCAGTACTTTGCCGTCGCGGGCATTGATGTTAACTTTGGTGTCGGGAAGACCGAAGCTGTCCTTTGCTTGCATGGGGCGGGCTCTGTCGCAGCTAGGACCAACGTGATGGTCACGCAGGGGGGCACGATCCCTGTTCCCCTGCCAAACAATCGGGATGCAAGCCTGCGGTGTGTCGACTCCTATGTCCATCTCGGTTCCAGGCGTGACGGACGGGGTGATACTCAGGGTGAAGTTGAACGCCGAGCACGCCTCACGATGGAGGCATTTGTCCCATTTCGGAAGCGCATTCTCTGCAACAAGCACCTGACGTTGCAGGAGAAACAGGATCTCCTTGCTTCCATGATAATGGCCAAGTTCCTTCATAATGCTGGAACGTGGGACCTGCATTCCAAGCAAGCGCACCATTCCTTTTGCAGTAAGTATTACAGTTTCCTTCGTGGCAGCATACGACCGTTACACGGTGTCCCCTGTCGTAGGTTGTCGGAGGAGCAAATACTTGCCTTGACAAATGCTATCAGCCCCGATGAGGCCCTCCTCATACGCCGGGTCAGGCTCGTTTCTCAGGTGCACGATAAAGCGGATGAGTACTTGTTGCAGATTCTCGCCGATGAACAAACTTGGCTGCAGCATGCACGAACCGCGGCGCATGAGCTAGCCACTGCCCTGGATGATACGGCTATGCTCGAGTTTGCCTCAATGCCCTGTGATGGACTGGAATGGCTGCGGCAATGGCCTTATAGTCGGGAGGCCACGGCAAACAAGCTTAAGCGCTTTCGCCAGCTGCGACTTGGCCGGCGGGTTGATCTTGTGCCCGGTGCCATACAAAAAGCGGCTGCTCACCAGACAGCGGCGGACTGGGGTTTAGTCTTTGCCACGCTTGAGACGGGTCATGATGCGACCAGCCGTGCGCATGTTTGCGGTGCGTGCGGTCTTGCATTTAGCCGGGCTTCCTCGCTTGCCTCACATCGCTCCAAACGGCATGGCATCCGAGCGGCACCCTCGTTTGCTTGGGGGACGGCATGTGAGGTATGTTCCAAAGAATATTGGACGTTAGACCGCTTGCGCGAGCATTTTAGGCGTTCGCCCGGCTGCGCCAGAGCCTACGAGCACTCCGATCTGGACCCTGCCACTTGCAGTGCACAAACCGGCCCGCGCGCGGCACCACCGGTAGCCATCCAAGGTCCTAAGCCTTGGTGGGCTACTTTGCGCCCACGCCCTCCTCCTGTCGCACACCCAGCTCCCAGTTGCCATGATCGGCCTGCAGTTGGTGACCTTCGCACCATTGAGCAGGTTCCTACTTACCTCCAGTGCTGGCTTCGTTCGGTTGAGCAAGGGTATGCTTGGTTTCAGGGTTTTGAGGAGAGGGACTGGCTGCGTCCGATTGTACAGATTACGGCGCAGCTTGCCAAACATGCTTTTCTTGATGACGATGAGCATGTCATCACAGCTGGCGATCTGGCCGCTGTACTCAAAGGCCCACGGCTGCTGGTCGGGCCTGCTGCGGCGCTGCGCAGAGCGCGCGTCGCAGTGTGGCATTGCCTCTAGTGATGCCTTTTGGAATTCAGGAGCGCGTCGTTACGACTCGAGCCACGACGACAAAAAAACCCTAAACCCCTAAACCCTAAACCCTAAACCCTAAACCCCTAAACCCTAAACCCTAAACCCTAAACCCCTAAACCCTAAACCCTAAACCCAAAACCGTAAAGCCCTAAAGCCAAACCCCACCGTTTTTTGAAAGTATTGAAGCTCCGAAGTTCTGCACTCCAGACTCCAGACCTGGCAAGCGTTCAGTCCTACACTCTCAGGGTTGTCGGTTTAGGGTTTCCGGGTTTTGCCGTTTTGCCGGTGAGTCTTCAAGTTTCGGCGTCGAGGGATGTGAATGTAGGGAGAAGGGCCTTCGGAAATGAGGGTTTACATGGAGTTTCGGTTTTTGCAGCGGCGCCTGTAGGTGTGAGGGTAATGTAGGCCCAAGGTAGGCCCCTGATTGAGAAGCTTATACCTTAAACATGATGATCATAGGGGGATCCAAATTATATTAAGGCCCTTAAAGAGAGGGGGGTTTAGACGAAAAGCCTTAAACCCAGAATTCCAGGCTTGTTGAGAGTCTAGGGCTTCGGCTTTAGACTCAGCGTGCTTTGTTCGAGGGTTTAGGCGTCTTGGGTTGGGGTTGAGGCTTTAGGGTTTTAGGGTGTAGGGTTTGGGTTTTAGGCTCAGAGGTTGTTTGGCGGTTTGTTTGGTGTTTGGTTTGATTCTGCTTGGTTTGATTCTGCGAGCTTCACCGCTTCATTCTAATCTCCACGAGGCAGGACAGCATAAGCTTATGCTGCTGAGTAATGTGTCTATCAGAGGAAAGCTGCCTTGTCAAGAAAGAGGTTCATCACAGCTGTGCTGCTGAATCGACTTTTGTGGTAACATCTTGGGTGTCGCAACCTAATTATCCTTGTCGGGTGACCAATGCCGATCGACCATCATTGTCTGTGCCGGCTGCGTTGCTCTGCCATATCCATGCAGTCCATGCAGAAGAAGCACTGGTGTCAAAGATCATTCAACCCTTGTGAGGTTGCTGCAGGTGTGAAGTTGCGAATACAACGGCGCCTTCAAGCCAGGCACCTGCAGTAAACTTAACGGTGGAGTGGGCATTGACGGGCAGGTCAGAAAAAGGCTGTACTGTCCCAGCTGCTCGACTGGACAGGTGCAGACACTCACGCGGGCTGCGACAAGCATGCCGGGCGACTGACAAAGGCCCTTCTATGTTGTTCCGAGCAGGCTGCGATTGGAATGTTCTTGTGATCATTGATCGAGATGATTCAGAAGTGATGAACTGTGTAACTGAGGTTACACGACCTCGGAACCGTAGTGTGAAGCTTCATTAATCGTGTGGACAGAAACTTACGTGTCGAGAAGTCTTGTGCGAGTTGTCAGGAGTCGGGCCGTTTAATAATGCAACAAGTTCAAGTCTTTCCTAAACGTGGATTTGAAGGTTTGTATGTTTTGATGGTTTGTGCTTGCCCTGGTTTGTAGTAGGGGAATTGAGCGGTCTGTGCTTCTTTCGCCTCTCATGCCTGTCTGGCCAGGTGGTAAGTCACGGATGATATCACTCAATCTCTCCTTGGAGAGTGAGCATAGGCATAACTAGCCCCATGTACTTGAGGATCGGCTGCTTCTGAAGTCGAGCCTTCCCATGGCATCCTGAGGTCATACATCCATGCATCCAGGAGTGCCACATTGCCTCCACATATGGCAGCTTTAGAAAGTTCGGGATTCCTTTTCGGGGGTCCTGACAATGGGAATGCTACAGGGGTTCTACGTTAGGATCCCTGACTTCGTGAAACTCCCATATCGCAAAAATGATCGTGTCGGATCTGCTTCTTAGAAGTTGTTGGTTTGGAGACACTTGCACCAAGCCAAAGTGATCCTGGCAGTTTCGGCTTTCGGCCAGGAAGCAGCGAAGCTCAATCAGTGCCCCCGGAGCTGGGTGAGTCCTTCCCTCGAGAAACCTTCCGTCGACTCGTTGTGCACATCTGGTAATTGCCCTATTTGTGGCAGGGACGTCCCCGAGTGCCTCAGGGGCCGTAACATGACACTATCTGAGCAGTGGCATGTTTCTTAGGAGCAAAGGAGTCAAAGCAGTGTTGAGACGCCATGTAAGGAGGTGACGCTGAATTCAGGGGCTTGGGACCTTACCAAGATGCTCGAAGCCATTCTGCTCTCCGAGGTGGTGCGCCTTGTTCATAAATCTCGAAAGAAGAGCTGATCGCAAAGGCTCGGAAGCCTTTTTGTGTGGACTGTCGAAGGCATAGCTTCACATTCCAGCCAGTCCTGGACTACACGCATTCATCACAACACACGATGTGCCACCCCCTTAGCTCATCTTAGCTCCATCGCATTTCCAGATTTTGTCCCGCAGCAGCTCCTAGGACCAACCGGCAGCTACCGTAATGGCTTTGCAGTCACAGATAGAACCATTGCATGCGTTGCAGATGCTGTGTTAAAGAGACGTTTAGCGACTTCCCATCTTCTGCGCTGCGTCTTCTTGTGGGTCGTTTGTTCTAACCAGGCATTATGCGCGCCTCTGATCTTGGTTGCAGTCGTGTCGCATGACCCGATCAGAGCGGCTTCGCTCCTTGCTCGCCGAAGCCAACGAGCCCCTCCTTGGCCGCCTGGAGCGCGTGGAGGTGCCTAGGGGCCTAGGTTCTTTCACGCAGCAGGTCCCTCGAGGGCCCTCGGTTCTGATGTTCTACATCTCTTGGCTGTGCCTACGAGGCCATCGACAAGCTGGCCTTGTCTTTAGATGATGAGGCCGGGCTTTGACATGTATGCACAATGAGGTGCTATTTAGTGCTCTTGCCCGTGTTCAGTGCCAGCTCTTGTCCGAACAGGTGGTCGTGGACGCAGTCGGTCCCTATGCTTTGGAGCGTGCCAGGCCCTGGCAAACAAGCGTCGAGTTGAAGCGGTCGACATTGATTCTGTAATATTCTGTAGATTGTAGATAGCAGGCGCGCAGTGGACGAGGAGCATTACACCATTGTCCACGACGAGGTCAGATTCCGAGCTGACGTGAAGCGGAGGTTGTTGCCAGCATTTGCCAGCATGCACGAGTTTGCCAGTCAGTGATGTCACTGGCACTCCAGCTTCAGGAAGGGAATTTGGTTCATTTTGACGACCACCTGACGGTGGGCGGCATCGCTTGCGCTCTGTCCCACCGCCTGGCGCTCCAGCGCCGGGTGCTCATGCAAGCTGCGTGCTTCCTTTGACGTTTTTCCACAGGGCGGCTTCTACTTGACTCTAGGTTGAGGTTCAATGTTAGGTCAGGGCAGACCAGCCACTGGTAGGGCTTGGTCTCAGCACATTCTACATGAAGCATGGCTTCCAGACTCGTGCAAAGGCATTGCCACGCACCCGACGGCCGAGTGGGGTCTGATTCTGGAGGCCTGGGGGCCTGGGGGTTTGCAGCCTGGAGCTGGGCATCTTTCCGGTCTCAGGACGACGTCAACGCCGTCGTCCCGAGAGTAGACCTAGCAATCTCAAAGCTCCTGCAGTCGCCTCAGACCGCGACTCGTGGATGTGTGGGGTGTCGGCATGGGAAAGCGTTGCTCTGCAGGAAAGAGCTGCCGGAAGAGTGGGATGCCGTTTGCCTCGCCTACCATGATCCTCGTGGGAGGCTGCGGCCATGTGCCATCTTTCGTTGTCACCACTGCCTCTTTATCCTCTTGCACCCGACATGTGCTCTACCACGAGCAGCAGGATCAGATTGGACATGTGCAGGATCATTGCACATTCTGGTGCAATCTCCAAACGGAGCTCGTCAGGGTACATCCGCTCGCCGTCGACAAGGGCACAGTCGATGAGTCCTTTGACGGTGCAGAGGTCGAGTTAATGCAGCACGACGCCGAGCTCCAGCATAGTCGAAGAAGCTGTCCGAGCATCGAGCTTACTCTGTCCTGAGGTCACACGGGCATGTCTTCGGCCTTGGGGCGTGGATGGCTCCTGGGCTATTGCATCGATTTCTGGTGTTGCTGTCTTGAAGTTTTGCAGCTCCGTGTTCGAAGGTCCGCAAGGAGGCTGCCCAGGAACTAGTAGAGCACGCTTTCCCCATCGAAAGCCAGGCTTGTTGCAGCCTTTTCGAGTGCTGCTTGAAGAAATCGTGCCTGTGCAGTACTGAGGGTCTCTCATCGGCATTCATGGTCGAGATAGATGCCTGTAGTAGCACGACCTGTGACAGAGTTCGGGATGAGCCGTGGCATGGGAGTTCGCTGATTGCATGTCCGTGCCCTGCGAAGGTGGGAAACCCTTAGAGTCGTCGCCACAGCGACTAGATGTAGATGCAGTCGGAAGCGATCAGAGCGTATCGGAAGAGATTCTTTAGATAACAGAGCATGTCAATAAAACCGGTTCGGTCAGGTGGACTTTACCCTCACCAACTGGTTGGCCCGAAACGGAAGGCGCTCGGTCCGCAAACTGGCGAGTTTTGCTGTGTGTATGGTAAATACAGTACACGTTTCCGACATACTGTCGAATTTGCATAAGGCCTCACTAGCAAGTTTCACCCCCAGGATGCTAACTGCTATGTCAGATATCTTGTGTACAAAGTTCTTCTTTGTAGTGCAATTAGGTTAGATCTCTACGCTGGGTGTGACATGTGAAGATTAAGTCCATGACCAGAGACCGATCCTGCGCTGAGGAGCTTCTGGAAGGTGGATCCCACTAACTTGCTCTTCTACGCGCCCTCCAGTGAGGAGGACGGGGGAGTTGACGGGGCTCCTGGATCTTTGAAGGTTCCCAGTTTAGGGTTGAGAGGCACATTGTAGCGCTTAGGATGTATGGCTCTCCAGGAGATGGACTCCGACGTGCAAACTATGGTACCTATCGCGAAGATAGCCGTGGCCTTGATCACGCTCCTTTCAGTGGTCTGGCATGCTTGTGACTGCAACGTATCATGCAGAGACGAGGCTGTAGTCATTCTGCAGTTCCGCCACGCGACTTAATCGTTGCACGCTAAAGATTCCAAGTCCCGCGTCTTCCTGAAGTCCGGAAAAGACGCGAACAGCTCGCGCAGAGCCTTGAGATCCAAAGGGCCCGAAGCGACTAAGTTCCTGCTTTCACGGACTGACCCTGCGACCCTTTCATGACATCTCTTCAACGCCCAAAGAAAGTGCCCGAGCTTAAAACTCTGGAGCCTTGAATGTCCGAATCATGAAAGTTTTGAACATCTGAGCCGGTTGCCCCCAAGCTGAGACGTTCGATTCCGCATTTGGACGCCGAGGAAGAGGAGCACGAATCTCTGCAGGCGTACATTGACTACATGAGCGGCAGGACACAGCTGTAGCCGTTTGCCCGACAGGCAGCTTTCTGGAGTAGAGGTTGAGCAACAACGATGCCCCATGTGGTCGCGTGTGTGGCGCGCATGTGTGCGTGTGCATCTGGAAAGTGAAGCGTAGTACATCTGGAAAGTGAAGCGTAAAGATCTCTGCAAGCGCTTTGATCGCTCAGACATTACGAGGACGGCTGACCCATATGAGGATTGGGACCTTGATCTGGATTTAGACTATGGTCGGGGTCTCGGCAGAGACTGGTAGCTACGCAACGTAATTTAAGAGTCTCCGGCTCAAGCCACCGACCGCGCAGGAGTGAGAGGCAAGGTCGTGAAGTGCAGTCGCTGCCCAGGGGGGGGGGGGGGTAAAGGGGGTAAAAACCTTCCTACAGACGGCTCAAAGTAGTAGTAGTGGTAGTAGTAGTAGTAGTAGTAGTAGTAGTAGTAGTAGTAGTGGTAGTAGGAAGTAGCAGCAGTAGCAGTAGCAGTAGCAGTAGCAGTAGCAGTAGCAGTAGCAGTAGCAGTAGCAGTAGCAGTAGCAGTATTAGTAGCAGTAGCAGTAGCAGTAGCAGTAGTAGTAGTAGTAGTAGTAGTAGT